TCACCCAAATCACAATAAAAATAAACAAACAAACAAAATAACACTGTTCTGGTAGCATAGTGCCTAAGGCATCTGACTGCAAACCAGAAGGCTGGCGGTTCAAACCCACCAGCTGCTCCTCAGAAGGAAGATTGGGCAATCTAGTTCCTTAGATACTGCCTCGGAAACCCAAAGAGGGCTCACTATGAGTCGGAAATGACTTGACAGCAGTGAATTAGGTTTTAGTTTGGTATTTTTATAAATAAAGTTTTACTGGAAAACAACCATGCTTGTTTTTGTGACTATTATTGGACTTAGCCACACATCCGTTTATGTACTGTCTGTGGCTTTTTCACTATAACAGCAGGGCTGGGTAGATGCACCAGTGACTGTATAGCCCAACAATGCCTAAAACATTTCACCGTTGTGCCCTTCACAAAACGTAAATTTGCTGACCCTTGATTTAGAATCTGTGGGCTGCAGTAGAAATTGTTTTTAAGGTTCTTTCGAATTCCTGAAATGTTTTGATTCCAGTGCCCTGACAGGGAACTAAGAGGGTATTTTTTCTTCTGGAAGCCCCAGCAGGATGGTGTTTAAAGTTATTTTTTTCATATGTAATATATTAATATTTTAATCATATATTTACATTTTTTGATTCCTTCTGGTAATTTTGAAACATTTAAATTTCATAAAGGTAACAAAGTAAATGACATCTAAAACATGGTGGTAAAGTTACACATATTTCAATATTGCTGAAAAGGCCAGTTCCATTATTTTAAGCAGTTGGCAGGCAATAAAGATAAATTAGATAAAACTGCAATATTAAACCATGTGGATCATTTGTAAATGCTAAGATTTTTTTAAAAAGGCATATTAAGGAAGTTGTAGAACTTGATTTTATTTTTTTCCAACAAACGGCTTTGTGGGCCTCTGGCTTGGGATTTTCTACTCTGAATTCAACCCAGTGGCACTCAAGCCCCTGCTTCTCTCAGGTTGGCAGATGCTTTTTACATTATTGCCTGACTTCAGGGTTTCCTGTGTTGATGCAGTGCCCTTTAAGAAGCCCCTCTTTTTCTTTCAGCCAGACACACAGTGCCGTCGCTTGTGTGCTGCCGAGTACCCTCATCAGGGCCGTCCTGGCAGGGCATCTGCAGGTACGGTACGGCCAGATTTCACTACTGTTTGGATATGCTGAGGCCTTGGCTTTAAAGTCTTACTTTTTTCCTATGTTTATTTTCCCTTCCTCCTAATTTCCTCATATTTATTTGTTTTCCTATATCTTTGTAAATCATCTCAAATTCATTTTGGAAGATGAGTTTAACTCAGATAAGACATCTACTGCTCAGAGCCAAAATGTTCCCAATTTGTTTTCTCAGACCATATATTAACCTCTCACTATTCTAGCAAAATAAGTAGACAGTACTGTTTTGTTTTTTAATCTAACTGAAAAAACCGTAACATCCAAAATATCATTCAAGAACATGGCATGGCTTTTATTATGTAGGCAAAACACACACTGCTGCAGATTGAACTGCTTTCATTAGTTCACTTGCTAGGCAAATGTAAGGGACTTTAAACCATCAGGATATGCTGAGTCTGGTTCTATCTCATTAACTCCCTTTTGAGCTCCAGATTTTACCCTATAGATACTTAACAGAGGAGGGATAGGAGGAAATTTAGGGATGTCTTAATTCTTCCCATGATGACCTTTACCATCAGAGCCATTCTCATCTTCCTGTAGGTAGAATTTACAAGTCCTGGGTGGCTGAAATGTTTACTGTTCATAAGATTAATTACCAAGGACAGGAAAACCTATTCTGCCTCAAACCATCTTTGTAGTCTAAGGGAGCTCTTAGTTCAGTTCCTAGTAGCACTGGTAGTCTTTCAGTGTTTTCAGTTGATTCTGTTTCTTGCATCACTCCTCTTAGGGAAGCAATGGTGCCTCTGAGCTGTAGTTATTACATTCAGCCAGGTTAATGGTCAGGTGTAACACTTGTTAAGTAATACCAGTATCTAAAATTAAAGTCCAAATGATAACTGGAGCAAAAAAGCCATTGTATAGGATTTTGAGATTAGCAAATCATAAATGTCTACTGATGTTACTCTATAATTTCATCTTTGTCTGACAGGTCCTCAGTTACATGGGTCTACAAAACCTCAAAGCAGAGGTGGACTGGTCTCCAGAACCAGGCAGGGACCATAGGGAAAGTAAGAACCAGGCTGCAGGGAACACATCTGAAGATTTAATAGACCAGTACTGTCATCTCCTCATGCAGAGCTTGTAGACAAAAAACAACTTGAAACCATCTTCAGGAAGTTATTTTGGTTCAACTAAGAAAAACACAACAAAGTATCTGCCAAAGATTACATGGGTACTGTTTCTATTTCCAGTTACTACTGTCTTCTTTCAGTCTTAAGTTAACCCATTTCATTGGATAGGAAAATTTGTACCCAATGATGTAAACATGAATAATTACCCCCAAATCACAGCTCATATTGTCTGTTAGCAATGATCAGATCAATTACTACAGGTCTCTGAGACTAAACATCCACAAAAACAGCATGATTAATAAACAAAAGTTATCACTGGCTTCAGAACACTTCTGCTTGTATTAATTTCTGGAGCACTAACCTATTTTGTTATTTTTAGGACATAGTTCTGTCAAAAATCTAAGCTACTTATCAAATAGATGCCATTTCTAAAGGTTTCTCTTTAGATGTCCAAATCTAGAAACTGATAGCAGTGGAAGGGGTAACCAGACCAAAAAATGCTGAGCATCAGTGTAAACTAACTGAATGCTTTCCACTGTTTCAGATAGGACAGCAAGCTCACACTGCCTGCTTGTGATCAGGTTAGGCTTATTTTCTATTTCCAAGTACCTTTACTGGTCATATTTTTCCAAATATTAAACCTATCTTGCCAAATTTTCTCCCTAGGAAAGTCAATTACTTTGTAGACTCTTGCTGTTAACAAGCCATCAAGATCCAATTCCTTAAAACTGCAATTAGTCCAGTATAAATGTACCCCGAAATAAATGACTTTGACACCAGTAAGAGCAACAGAAGTTGAAGCTTTGGCATTCTTCTGATGTTACCATGGAGCTTTTCCTGAGGGCACTCATGAATGCAGCAATGATTTTTAACTATGGCTTAAAATTACACAGTATTTAATTTATTGCTAATTTTATCATACCAGTTTTAGACCTTACTGTCTAAATCTTTGGGATAATTCAAGTGATCAGAAACTGGGATAACTTTATTTTACTACGATGTTCTAATGCTGTCATGTGAAAACACAGATGCTTCAAATGTGCATTAAATATGTTTTTAATAAAAGTATTTTTTAACCTTTTTGTAATTAGAAACTGAAAACGTGTCATATGTTTGCCTCAAATTATGCTATATAAAACTTGATACTAAGAGAAAGTTTGGTTATACATACAGTATTGAATAGATTAGTCTACAAGAGGGACAGTTGCTAATGTTTTATGTATTCTAATGAATACATAACAACTGAAATATAAATGAATACTCTGTGTATTCTCACAAACCAGTTCCATGAGTGAATTACAACAAACTGCTGGGTCACGATGGCTTGCCTTCTGATGTTTGTTAGTGTTGAGTCAGAGGGGCCTCCACAAAGTCATTTACTCCAGTTCTCCAGCCCTTTGACAGATGAGGAAACAACTAGTTGAGACAATGTCAGTGACCTGTCCGCAGACATTCAGCAGTCAGAGGCAGGACTACAACAACTCATGTCTCTTTATGTTATTTAAACTGAGGTGTCTACTGTAACACTGAATGGAGAACTTTGCTTCCCTCTTCTGTAACCTAAACAACACTCATGTTTTGCTATATCATATTTTAAATGACCACAGTGATAATTTTAAAAGCTCCCAGAATAAGTAATTTTTCACTTATTTATTTAATCATATACAAGTCTTAGAAAAATACTTGAAGTAATTTGAACACCCATTTTTCCTATACTTCAAGTATCGAGTATAGAACCTCGCTGAATAAAACGAGGAGAGCAAGTCTGTTCAAGACCACCCTGACTGGAAGTAAACCAGCTGGTAGTCCGGAAGGCAGTAGTTACACGGCTGATCTGACAACTTAGGCTAGAAAGACAAGTTCTCTTGGGTTGACTGGTGTCTTCAAATCTTGACCGCATCTTTACAAAGGTACCAATTAGGTCCTAAGGACCTCTGAAGAGAAAAATTCCATTATTTCTTTTCTTTCTTGAGAGATGTTTTTTTCCCTCCTCCTTTGGAAGGTTTGCAATACTTTGCTTCCATCTGAGCCAGAAAATTGTCCATTTCTTTTTGCCGATCCTTTTGTCTGCTCTGTTTGAAAAATTAAAACACAAGCTTTCAAAACAACACTATCCACAGAGTGGCTGTCAGGGACTGGGGTGAGGGGTGCATCGGGAGTGAATATAAGGTTTTTTTGGGGGGTGATTAAAGTGTTCAGGAATTAGAGGTGATGGTTGTACAACTGTGAATTACTAAAATCCAATGAATTGTACACTTCAAAAGGACAAATATATGGTATGTGAATGTATCTTAGAAAAACAGAGAACCCACAACATTCTATATGTATCCCAAAGAAAACAGGAGCCATGGAAATCAGAACTTGAAAGAAGTGGCAGCAACATGCCAAGTTTACCTGGATGGCCGCTTTCAAGCCATCCACCCCTTCATCAAGCCCCAACTCCTTCCTGGTCATTTCTGCTTCTTTAGCCTCCTCTTGAGCCTGAAATAGAAACTCAGGTGGGACTTCATGACAACCTAACAATTGCTTAAAGTACACTGTTTTCCAAAAGCAAACCATGGTAAGAATAAAACTCCTTTCAATTTGGGGGTTGTATGAATAGATCAAAAGAATAAAATTAAAAATTACATAAATACTCATTAAAAGGCAACACTGCTAAGACCAAGCAATAAAGTCCACTGATTATAATAAGCATTTCTATGTCCGAGGTTTTCCCATTTCTACTGGCTATGCGGTCCCTTAGGTCTTCAGTGCTCATAAACCAAACAGTGACAAAAAGGAAACAAAATGCATGGATTGGTAGGAAAGGCCCCTTCACCAAAGACGCCCTCAGAAGCACTGCCAGCACACAGGCATTTTAGATTCCTCCTCTACAAACTCAATTGACATGTGTGCTGGTGGCAGCCTTGTGAACAACCTAGTTTAAAGGATTTCTCCTAAACAGTCAGGGGAAACAACAGTATCAAGGCTCAGTTTTAACATTTCTTTACCAATTTCAAAGAACCCTTCTTTTACCAAATTTTCCTAGAGTAACTGTTTCCAAAATACCACAAGAACACTTTGGGAAAGGTTAGTAAGGTTGTTCTTTTCTTCATGGCAACAACTATTAAGAGGCCCCAACCCCTATGAATTTTCTAAGTAGCAATCAATATATTAACACTGGTAAGAATGATACATTTGGACTTTATTATCCCAATAAAGACACAGTTCCCTCCTTTTTACTTACAATCCATCTCCTAAATCCTTGCATCCCAACCCTATGTTTGCTGGAGAGTAAAAGCTATGCCCTTTTCCCCTCCAACTGTAGAGGCAAGTTTTCCAACCTTAATACCCTATTATTGAATACAACTGGGCTCAGTTTCACCTGAGACAGTGATTACCAACTTAAGATAAGCTATAAGCACGAGTCTAGGCAGATACAGCCTTTGAGCCAAAATGATGATCTTCAAACATTCCATAGATCCCCAATGTAGAAACGGCAGGGCCTTTTATCTAGGCAAGTCAGACAACCCTTAATATTTTCACCCACCCGCCCCCAAAATGACAGGTTCATGTCATATGTATCTAAAAGCCTCAGAACCCACCCACCCCCGCCCCCGCCGATTCCCCTGCACAGAAGAAAGGCACTTCAGGGGCCTATTGAAGAACTGAAATCTTAACCGATCCATCCGCTCTCCCTAGAGCTCTCACCACCAAACACAAAACCAGGCTGAAGCATTGATTACTTCAGTTCTGGTGCAAGGCACTGTTTCTAAAAAGGCCAGGCGCACAGTGCTGGCTACCTTAAATCCACTCCTTTCTGCAATTCCAATGGTCCTTAAGCTCCTTTCTTGGGCCACCACCTTCCACCCACACTAACTCCACACGAATATGGGTATAAAGGACGCACAAGCCATAATTTTTAATTCTTGGCAAATGTGTTTCTCAAAGTTTGGTTGAAAAGACACCTTCATCAGAATAAACATCTATTTAAAAATACATATATTCTGGGCCTAAGAGTCTGCAATTTTAACAAAAATTCTTCAGCCAAGAACACTGTTCAGCCCGTGTGCCTGGACTCCATTACTGTGTCTCCCGAGAAATGCCCCAGCACAGCCACAACCATCAGCCCAGATGAAGAGCATTTCAAGATCACTTTAAGATGATGTTAACAATGCGTGTAGTAAACTCTTGAGCACAACATACAAGAAGAGATAAAATTTCTCTACATGAATTCATATGCTCATTTTATTAGAGGAGAACAATCAAGTTAAGGAGCCCTGGTGGTGCAATGGTTAAGTGCTTAGTTGCTAGCTGAAAGGTAGGATGGTTTGAACACCACCAGCTTTCTCAAGAGACCAGACGGAACACTCAACCATGAGAGATCAAAAGGGCAACATTTGCCCAGGGATAAAGCTCAGAAGGCAGGAATGTTTAGGAAAGAAGGACAATGGGAAATGCTGAACACAGGGAGGAAGTGGGTAGAGAGCTGTCACACTGTGCGGATTGCAATCAACGTCATGAAACAAAATGTGTATGAATTGCTGAATGGAAAACCGATTTACTTTGTAAACTTTCACCCAAATCACAATAAAAATGAAAGAAAGAAAATGGGCCTGGCAATCTCCTCCTGTAAAGATTTACAGCTACGGAAATCCTACAGGGAAGGTCTACTCTATGAAATAGGGTCACTATGAGTTGGACTCAACTTGACAACACACGATAACAGCAATATGTAACAACTTAACCCTTATCCTTATATTTCAGTGGTTTTATATATACAGGCAGTCCCCGGATTATGAACAAGTTCCATTCTTAAATCTGTCTTTAAGTCAAATTTGTATATAAGTCCAGACAGTTAGGTATATAACCAGTCAAGTCTTAGCACAGAGTATATAATGTACCTTTTTATGTGTAAGAAATTCTAAAGAAACACTTCCAGATACACTAAAACATCTTCAGCATAACAATACAGTAGTAATAATGTTTTGATGCACATTGCAAAGTAGTGCCCATCTGTTACCACAAACTACTGTCAATTTGTTAATATAATAGACTTTACAGAAGTTAGTTTATAATGACAGGTGGTGTGTAAGTCAGACGTTCGTACCCAAGGACTGCCTTTATTTCCATTATTGTAAATATCCTCAAATTCTTTTCAGAAGCAACCAAGACATCAATAAAAAAAATAGCATTCAAAAATCTTACCCTCCTTTTCCTTGCATTCATCTTTTGCTTCGATTCTTTGACAAAGGCTTTATAGGATGGGACTTCTCCCGCGTCAATGGCTTGCTGAATGATGTTCCTTATTCTCGGTTCCTCTGTGTACTGCACACACAGCACAGACTCCATGATCTGATCCATGTCACCCTTGAAGTCCAGGTAGGCCTGTTTAATATCAGCCAACTCTTCTTCAGAACCTTTGTATGTCTTTTCAAAAGCCTGAATGTCCTCTAGAGATATCTGAAAAAATAAAGGTGACAAGCTTTAACTTTGAGAATTTTATTTTAAATAAAAAGTATACTAGTAAAACTAATGATGTAGGTGTTGAAATGTTTCTCCTCAGATGTCACTTTAGTCGAAACTTGCAAGAAACCAAGTTTTCTATGCTTAAGCTTTTCCAGAATTCTCCCTACCCCAACCTTGAAAACTTTGTTAAACTAGTGTCAGGAAAATTTAAAAGAAGTTTCCAAACATGGGGAAAGAACAGAAAAACATTCAAGGCTTGCATTTGAATATCTACATTTTGTATAAAATATAAATCTTCCACTGCAATAATTACACACTATCAGCAAGAAATTAAAGGCCCTTTCAGTTAAGTGTGTACTTTTTTTCTTTCTGAAGAATAAACTCATTCCTCAAATTCGTCATTCCTACAGAATTAATATACAATGGAAGGCCTTAAGAGACATTCAACAGATGTTTGTTGAATGATGAGAAGAGCCACAAAGAAACCTCCAAAATCCCCTACCTTTTTAAAGAGTAACCTCCAATATGCCTCCCAGTCCCGATCTTCGTTGAGCACAGCAGAGTCCTCGTCCACGGTTCCCTGCTCATCGTATACTGCTCTCTGCTCTTTATCACTTAGAACCGAATAGACTTTCCCGAGGATCTGCGGGAAAAAGCACCCAAGTCACCCCTGCAGTCCTACAGAAACTGGGCCACGAGAAATAGATTAAAAAATAATGCCAGGCCGGCATCAGCGCACTGCATCGGCGGGCGGCCCGGGCTTGCGCACCTGGAAGCGGCGGGTGGCGTCCTCCTTGTCGCCTTCTCCCACCCGGTCTGGGTGCACCTGTAGGGACACCCTATGGTAGCCGCGCCGGACCTCGCCATCCGAGGCCTCGCGCCTCACACCCAGCACCCGGTAAAGGTCGGCGGTGCCGAACACTTCTTCACAAAGCTCCAGCAATCCCATGCCGGGCACGGAACAGAAGCAGTGGGTCCCAGCAGTATCTGTGCAGCCCCGGACTGCTCCCTTTTCCCGCGCAAATAGCCCAGGGCGCCTGCGTCACAAACTGCGCAGGAAAGGGCGGGGCCAAGTTGCGGAACTACGCTTTACGGCGGCCACAAAGCTGGGTGGGGCCAGGCCTGCGTGGGCCGAGAAGGCCGATTTGAAAGGGCGGAGTGTATCGTGCGAGGGGAGGAGTCACGTGGACCTCATTCCGTAATGGAAGAGGGAGACCAGGTCTCGCAACACCCTGCCCTGCGCGGCCCTCCTCCCCTTACACTGGCAAGCTCTCATCTGTGCTTTCTCCAGTGCACCATGAGGTAGCTCATTCAGAAACACAGAACCTCCACATACTAGGTTTAAGCTATAAAATCGCCAGTGTATTTTTTAAAAATAAAAAATGCTAACACTTGGCATTTGGCACGATCACGTGGCTCTACCTAAGGATTATAGGTTTCTGAGTTATTTTCCAAAAATGATCCTTACAAGAGTATGTAGAACTCTTAAACCCTAGTAATACTGCAACCTACAGATTGGGACTGCTGGAATATTTCCCCTTGAGGCCTGCAACAAAAAGCCTGAATTAAAAAGCACAAAATACCAGTATTTTAAAAATTCTTTATCTGACAGGACTATGGGTTTGACATTTATTACAGAATAATCCTCACCTTCCAGCTCTGGTGTCACCTCCCACATTGGTGGAGATAACATATCGGCCCAAACAGCCATCTTAAAAACGTTTAAGATGCTGCAGAAGACACATAACAACAACAGCAGCAGGATACATGTAATCTTCAAAGACATGGTAAGAAAGTTGAGCCTGGAGTTACAACCCAAGGCTTGTTGCTGTTATGTACCATCGAGTCAGACCCGTCTCATAGCGACCCCTCCTTGGGTTTCCAAGGCGGTATCACTATGGAAGTAGATTGCCCAACCTTCCTTCTGAGGAGTGGCTGGTGGGTTTGAACCGCCAGCCTTCTGGTTAACACGAGGTTAGGGCTGGAGAAATCTTCAGGAATCAGAGAGAGGACAGGTTCACATAGAAATTGTGTATATAGATCTTTGACAAATAGACCAGAATGAAAGGTTAATATCTGAGTTGGCAGAAACTCTGAAGCTCAATATAATACATCTTAATCCATTTCACACAATGCAGGTTCCCCTGCCCTGGTCAGTATGTTCCATCATCACAATCTCCTCTCTCCCAATTAAAGTTTCTCCAAGGACTCCAGTCTCTCCAGGGTAGATCACTATCTTCTCAATGTCCCAGAGTTGCCATGGTTTTCAAAGCATTCTTCTTTTCCAAACCAAAGATCAGACCCAGCTAAAGACAGTTCTAGTAAGCCTGCCCTCATTCCAGGCTCCTCAAAACAAGTGGAGGCCAATCAGCAGCCCTGAAGGCGCTTCAATGACCCCAGGATTTGAGATAATTATTCTCAGAATCAGATAAGAGAGTAAAATAGTTCGGTACATTGATAGAGCTTTAGAATCACCTCTCCAAATGTCTATAGCCTAGTCTCATGCCAGAATTTAAAATCTGTGCACTGAAACCATCTTATCCACACTTGTGGTCATAGAATCCTGTGGCTCTGGTGGAGGAGATATTGTGATACTTAGGACTTTTTCGAATAGCAGTCATTCACATTACAAAGTCATCATGTCTAAACTGGTCTGTCACTGATTAAGTAGTCTTTTGAAAATCCCCCTCTCTTTATTCATTTTTTCCCCGATAGGTAACATGTTGGAAAGGGCTCTCCAGGCAGTCACACTGGGGTCTGACTCTTAGCCCAATACTAACTGTGGCTTTAGGCAAGTTACCACCTCTAAGTCTTAGCTTCCCCATGTGTGAAATGGAGATAATGGAGATAATCTTAACTATTCTCAACAACTGGAAGAGATCCATATTTGCACCCAAGAAAGGTGACCCAACAGAATGTAGAAATTATGAAATAATATCATTAAAATCACACTCAAAATAAAATTTTTCTGAAGATAATTCAAAAACGGTTGCAGCAGTAAACTGACAGAGACTATATTACAAAGAAGAATGCATTATCAAGATTGGATGAAGACTCACTAACCTGTCAAATGCAGATGACACAACCTTGCTTACTGAAAGCAGATGACTTGAAGCACTTACTAATGAAGATCAAAGAATACGGCCTTCAGTATGGATTACACCTCAACATAAAGAGAACAAAAATCCTCACAACTGGACTGAGCAACATCACAATAAATGGACAAGACTGAAGTTGTGAAGGATTTCGTTTTACTTGGTCCACAATCAACACCCATGGAAGCACCAGTAGAGATCAAATAATGTACTGCATTGGGCAAATCTGCTACAAAAGACCTCTTTAAAGTGTTAAAAAGCAAAGCTGTCACCTTGACCACTAAGGTGCACCTGACCCAAGCAATGGTATTTTCAGTTGCCTCATATGCATATGAAAGGTGGACAGTGCCTAAGGAAGACTGAAGAACTGGTTTATTTCAATTACAGTGTTGGCAAAGAATACTGAATATACTATGGACTACCAGAAGAACAAATAAATTTGTCTTGGAGCAAGTATAGCCAGATGTTTCTTAAAGCAAGGATGGAGAAACTTCATTTCACATTACTTTGGATGTGTTATCAGGAAGGACCAGTCCCTGGATAAAGACATCATGTTTGATAAAGTAGAGGGTTAGTGAAAAAGAGGATGACCATCCATGAGATGGATTGAAACAGTGGCTCAAACATAGCAATGGGTTCAAACATAGCAATGACTGTGAGGATGGTGGACAGGGCAGTGCTTTATTCTGTTGTACACAGGGTTGCTTTGCTACAAGTTAGAATCAACTCAACAACACCTAACAACTATTTTTTTGTTGTTGTTATGTGCCGTCGAGTCGGCCCGGACTCATAGCGACCCCTCCTTGGGTTTCCGAGGCAGTATCCCTACGGAAGTAGGATTGCCCAACCTCCCTAACAACTATAGTTTCTTGTATAATTAAAAGGGCCTAGGATTTTGCAGGGAGATCTGGTGGCATAGTACCTAAGGCATTTGACTGCTAACCAGAAGGCTGGCAGTTCAAACCCACCAGCCACTCCTCTGAAGGAAGGTTGGGCAATCTACTTCCGTAGTGATACTGCCTCAGAACCTAAGGAGGGATCGCTATGAGTCAGATTCAACTCAACGGCAGTCAGTGTGGTTTTATTTTTTGGTTTTGAGGATATATGCAGGTGCTTTACAATATTCGCTTTTTTCCAGTTTCTCATTCTTAAAAAGGAGACTATTACTATATTATTATAAAAAGACTCTATTATTATAAAAAAACAATTTCATAATCAATCTACCTTTGTAAGTCTGAGATTATGGTCAAGCAAGAATATATAAATCTCAGATTACAAAAAAAAAAAATAAGCAAGGTAATGTGTTCTTGAGCTGGTGGGATGACCATTAATGATTAAGAATAACTTGGGAAGGGACATGGACATGCTGATTGGGGGCTTTGTAGAAGGGACATCTTGGAAGACAGCTGACTGTAAAGTTGCCCAAGAGGCCCAGAGCCCAATACTCCCTAAAGCAGACACTGTTTCCCAAGACAGAAGCTGAAAAAGCAAATTAGTACCTAGAGCCAGCGCTATGTCAGACAAGAGCAAGTCTCTCCCTGGGCCCAGCTCAAGCCAGGGATAGAGAGACCTACTACCCTCTCCTGCCTTCAGAAAAGAATAGGTGACTCAGAAAACTATTTATTAACCTCAGAGTCTAACAAAATTAAGAGCTCTGCGTGTTTTTAGACAACCTTGGTGAAGCTGCTCCCACTGCTATGCGCACCACAGTTAGCTTGTTTCTGTTTCTGTAGCCTTGCTATCTGTCTTCTGAGAAGCTAAGAGGGCTTCACGCGCTCGCTGCCTTCGCAGTCTCTCAGCATTAGTGATCATCATGGGATGCAGAGGGAAAAATCCAGAAAGACCTAAAAGCAAAAAACATTTTCACTCATTGTAACACAGTATAAGTCCATGTTTCCCTGAGAACTCTGCCTCACACAACTGAGGTTGAACAAAGACAAGATCTAGAGTGTGGATGTAAAACATGCTCATAACTTGACAAACTCTGTCCCACCGCTTCCTCCCCCCCCCCATTTAACTGCAAGGAGACAAGAAATGTTGTCTACTTCCTAACACTATTATCCTTACTTGATAAATGGATAAACTGACAGATGTCCACTGCAGACACACTATTTCTGTTTTTAACATAAAATCCCAATCACCCAAAATGTCTCATAAAGGAGCCCACAGTGGTCCCTAGATTCAAGATGCCTAGCAATCAAGAATGCAGTATCAGCTCCCACTCAAGCCCTTGGCAGCGTCTAGGTAATGAAAACCCTTCATCATTCTCATCATCCTAGGGTCAACTTCAATTTAAAATCTCCTCGATGAGGTTGAGACCCAGGCTGAATTACCCAGAAGCTTTTCCACAGGCTTAGAGAGGTGGGCACCGCAGCCAATCCAATGCCGAATCCTCTCCAGGTTGAGGGCGACGATCTTCTCTCCATGACTGTTCGGTAATGGATCATAGGAGCCCAGCTGCTCCACGAAACGCCCATCCCTGGCACACTTGTTGTGAGCAGCCACGATGCGGTAGAAAGGCCGGTTGGTACAGCCACCCATGGCGAGGCGGATGGTTAAGTGTCCCCCATGGTAGGCCTTGCAGAGGAGGGTGGCTGTAGAGAAAGAACTGATTAGGACACAAGACTGCAAGGCACAAAATGCACCAAATGAGATGGAGGAAACTATACCCCTTCCTCCAGTGAAGTGTTCTCAATTCTTGTCAATCCGGCTCAAATACCACCATCTTTGAAAAAATTCTTTTATTCACTCTAGCCAGAAATGACCTCCTCCTCATTCCCCAATCCACTCAGCAAAAGCCTGTCACTCATTAGCTCTGTGACCTTGTCCAATTTCTGTTCTTTTCGAGCTTCGGCCGTCTCATCTGTAAAAGGGGGGGAAGGGGCCATGTACCTTACAGGGTTTCAGAGACGATTAAACCCGGACAACATAAGGGGTGGGGAAATAAACTGAAGGCAGTCCACTCTTTCAGATTCAATTTCTTCCAATGGCACACGAGAGCGCTGTTCCCCCAAGTCCCTTACCCTAGAGCCCCGCCACCCGCAGGAAGGTCTCGCGGAGCCCAGATCACTCACTGAGGTGGACCATGGTGCAGTCAGCTTACGCCTGGCCCGTATCGTGGCGCCTCGCCGTCCGCACAGGTCTCCTCCACAGCGTCCCGCGGTGTGCAGGATCGATGTCCAGGTTCAGCAATGCCACAGCGTGGGCCTCCAGCCCTGTTAACCTAAACTCTCAGACTGTGTTTCCAAAATGTGTCTGTTCCGTCGCTCTGCGTTTTCCAATTTCCTCCTCTACACTCCCCACAATGCAGCGCGGTCCCTCCGCCTACAGTTCCCATAATGCAACAGGAGACCCAGAACCTACTTTAAACTGCCGGAGAGCAGGCGGGCTGCAAATTGCGGGTTGGGCGAGTAGTACTACGAGTTGTATAGGAGTTCACGCCCATTCCTCAACTGTGTCTTTGCCAGGGTGTGGAGTGTTGGTAGAACATCTAGAGCGGCTAAAAGAAGTGCCAAGTGTTGTACAGATCATCCATCTCGCAGACTTTTTTTGAGCACCTATTGGGTCCATCGAGGTCGAGGCGCTGTGCTGAGGATGCAGAGATGTCCCGCACACCCAGAAGCTCACTGTCCGTTGGCGAGAGGATTAATCAGAGTAACTAAGGGTGAGCAAAAGACCTCTTTCAAGTGCTAAAGAGCAAAGATATCTCCTTGAAGATAGCTCTGGTAGCATAGTGGTTAAGGCACTTGACTGCTAACCAGAAGGCTGGCAATTCAAATCCACCAGTCTACTCCTCGGAAGGAAGGTTGGGCAATCTACTTCCGTAGTGATACTGCCTCGGAAACCCAAGGAGGGGTCGCTATGAGTCCGGTCCGACTCGATGGCACACAACAACAACCTAAGACATGGTATTTTCAGTCACCTCATATTGATGTAGGAGCTCTGGTGGCGTAGTGCCTAAGGCATTTGACTGCTAACCAGAAGGCTGGTGATTCAAATCCACCAGTCACTCCTTGGAAGGAAGGTTGGGCAATCTACTTCCCTAGTGATACTGCTTCTGAAACACAAGGAGGAGTCACTCTTGAGTTGGATTGGACACCACAGTATCGCATATTCATGTGAGAGCTGGACACTGAAGAAGAAAGAACGAAGAGTTGGTGCTTTTGAGTTGTGATGTTGGAGAAGAATACTTAAAAGTACCATGGACTACTGAAAGAGGAAGTGTAGCCAGAATGCTCCTTGGAAGCAAGAATGGCCAGACTTCATCTCACCTACTTTGGTCATGTTGTCCGAAGGGACTATTCCCTGGAGAAGGATATCATGCTAGGTAAAGTGGAGGGTCAGCGAAAAAGGGGAAGGCCCTCAATGAGATGGACACAGTGACTGCAACGATGGGCTTAGGTATAGCAGGGATCATGAAAATGGCACAGGCCTGGGCAGTGTTTCGTTCTGTTCTACAATAGTCACCATGAGTCAGAGATGACTCCACAGCACCTAACAACAAGAAGGGCAGGCGGTGGCATAGTGAATAAGGCATCTGGCTACTAATCAGAAGGTTGGAGGTTCAAACCCAACAGTCCCTCCACAGGAGGAAGAGGAGACAGCAATCTACTTCCGTAAAGATTTAAACCCTTGGAAACCCAGTGGGGTTGACTTGATGACAGGGAGTTTCATTTTTTGGTTTTAGAGGCAGCCAGTACTAGTACTAAGTGCAGGGCAAACAGGAAAAGGTGAAACTGGTATTTCTGAGTGTCTCAGGAAGACTTCATATGGGAAGTAGCATTAGGGCTGAAACCAGAAGGATTGTAAATGACTCGAGTTTATTTTATCCTTTCCTGTTTATTAATTTTCCTCTTACTTTCTCTCTTATGCTTTCCCTCCCACCTGTACTACTCTTCCATAGAGGCAAACACACCTTTTAAAAAAGTAAGAGGAAAAACCCTTATTCCTGGTTTTGCTGTGCTGTGTTCCAGGAGGGAGGGCTGGGGTGAAGTATGGTTTGGCATCTCTAGTCCTAGAATTTGGCCTCACTTGTTAGGTGTTTCATATCCATTATATGGTAATGGACTCTTCATGGATCCTTTGTGGTCTGGATCTATGAAGGTCTTGGTGGTTAGGGGGAGTCTCCATCTTAAGCAAGGACCTCCTGGCTCAGCTCTATTCAGAGGGTCTGGCCACAATTAATGAGCTCTTTGCCTTAATTCAGTGACCCAGCATAGCTATCTTCCTGTAGACCCACATTAGAAAATGATGCCTAAGTCCTAAGTTTGAGTTAGTGAACTGGGCCAGGGACCTCAGCAGTTGACGTTCATAGTGATCCTGATAAGCTTTCATCAGAAACCTTAATAATGAATGATCCCACTACCTATTCAGTATACTTTAATTGACTCCAGAACCACACTTATGAAATTTTAATCTCTTAGATCCATTTTTAAATTGTCATACAGTTACTGTCAACCAATAACATCACCAATAGAAATAAATGAATGGGCTCTGATTATGGGAAGATTCTTTTGTTCTGCAGCTCCAGGCTTCATAAGGTGAAATTCCAGGATTTAATTTCTTTGGGAAGAAAAGGGACTCTTTAGAGTCCCATACAGAAAATCGTTCAGTTTCTGTAAAGATGCTACAAAGATGGATCTCCAAAACCAACTGTCTCCTGTACCATGTGGATCTCGGCAAGCAGAGCTTCATCTTTCAGTTTCAGCTGCATGAGAGAAGGGAGAGAAGGGCACGTGTCACATCTGTCATACTTACGTGGCTGTGGACACCACTCGTTTGTGGGGCCACAGCAAAGAACACAGTTCCTCGTGATGGAACTGGCTCTTCCTATATTCCTTATTTCATGGAAACTCTATTAAAGGATCAGACAGTGCAGGTGCTGGTTAAGAGGGATATGTTCACTTTGTAAAAATCTATCAAGTGGCATGAACACACTATTTGTGCTTTTTTTATTTTTATTTTTATTGTGATTTGGGTGAAAGTTACAGAGCAAATTCGTTTCCATACACCAGTTCACATATACTTTGTCTCACGACATTGACCACAGTCTCCTACAATGTAAAGCTCCCCTCCTACTTCCTCTCCATAGCCACCTCTTCCCTGTGTCTTTCCCTCCTGTGCACTCCTGCCCCCTGAGCTGTCTCCCTGTTGAAGGAGTGTATCTACCTAATGTAAATGTTCAACTCATATGCCTGTCATTTGTTTGGCTAGAAGCCACAGGAGTAGGTTCAATTCCAGACCTGAAGGGCAAGTAGGAGCCATAATCTCAGGGGTTCCACCAGGCTCTATCAGACCAGCAAACCTGGTCCTATTTTTTTTTTTTTTTTAATGATTTTGAGTTTTGTTCCACATTGTTCTCCCGCTCTATCCAAGATCTCCTACATAGATCCCCCTCCAAGTGGTTGACAGTGGTAGCCGGGCACCATCTAGTTCTTCTGGTCTCATAGTCATACAGTCTGAGGATCACATGGTATAACAGCCCCTTGGACTGTTTCTGTGTGTCTTTGTTTTTTTTCATTCTTCTTTGCTCTGGACAAGGAGAGACCTATCATTGCATCTAGATGCTACCTGCAAGCTTTCAAGATCCCAGTTGCTACTTGCCAAAGTAGGATGTGGAACAATGTTTGTGTGTATATGTTATGCCAATTGAGCTAGATGTCCCATGCAACCATGGTCCCAAGCCCACACAGGTCCAACCACCTGCTCCCTGGGGGTAGCTGGGTGTGGTCAAGAAGTGACTACAACCTTGTCCTTTGTCAGCTCTACCATATACCTGGACATTCTTACAGATCACACAAATACACTTATAGAAACATTGTCTGCCAACTCTACACATGTCATAGGCATACTCCGCCCCCTGCATAAAACCAAAAACAACCCAAACTCACTACCATTGAGTCGATGCTGACTCATAGTGACCCCACTTGGGTTTCCAAGGCAGTAAATCTTTACGGAAGTAGATTGCCCAGTCTTCCTTCTGCAGAGCAGCTGGTGGGTTTGAACTGGCAACCTTCCGGCTAGCAGTCAAATGTCTTAGGCACTACGCCACCAGAGCTCCCTCCCCTGCACAGCCATACCTAACTGTTCAGCCTGTCCACCCATCTATCCACCCGTATATCAACATTTGCCATCACTGACATCGCAGTACCATATATGCAAAAGGCTTCGTCTTTTTTGTCTGTACCTCCCATGCTATTTGTGCACTGTTTCTAAGGTAACTTTAAAACAGTTTATTTTAAAAAGAGTTCACATAATTACTCAATGTCGTGTAGTATCCCCATTTGATCTAGGAAAGGAATGAAAGACATAGGATTCATAGACTTATCTTAGATATGAATTTAATTTTAGAATCTAGATGTGATAGAGAATTCCAGCTGCCTAATGGTATTCACCCATTCTATCCTTGCTCACTAACACAACCTCATGGTTTTTTTTTTTTTTTTTTTTTTTTTAGAGTAACAATGCAGCCAGCTAAAAAGCCATTATTTTTCTACTTCCCTTGCAGCTGGGGGGGGCGGTTATCTTATGGCCAATGAATTGTAAGATAAAGTCCTCGAGTGAGACACCTGGGAAAGCTCTTTAAAGGGAGGTGAAATAGCCAGCATGGCTCCTTTGTTCCTTTCTCTCTTTTGTTCTTTATCCTGCCTGAAAGATGGATATGGTGGCTGGAGCTACACTGGCTGTCTTGCAACCACACAGGATGGAAACTGCATGCTATAACTGGTAGAACAGAAAGACAGAAAAAGGTTGGATCCCTGATGACACTGTGGAGATACAGTACCAGCCCTAGTCTCTTCATTAAACCAAAAACCAAACCAAACCCACTGCCAAAAAACCCTAATTTGTTTAAGCCACTGCCATTCAAGTTTCTATTACCTGCAATGCATAATTAATTGAATTGACCCCAAAATCAAACCCACTGCCATTGAGTTGATTCCAACTCACAGCAACTCTATAGGAGAGGAGAACTGCCCCATAGGGTTCTCAAGGTTATACATCTTTATGGAAACACACCACCTCATCTTTCTCTCATAGAGTGGCAGGTAGGTTCAAACCACTGACATTTTGGTTAGCAGCCAAACCCC